GAATAAGAGAATACCAACAAGGTCTGAAGAAGGCTTGGGAAGACTGATAGACACACCTATCGCAGGTCGGGGCTGACAAGACGGAATAACTCAAGCACCGTCGAATCAAAAGGTAGACCGTATCGAACGCACTAGCATTTCGATGATTGGACTCTAAATATTCGTTCTCTCATGAGCAGTGTGCTGAGGAGCGAGTCCACTATAAAGCTTGTTGAAGCTCTAGATGAGAAGGATATGCACACAGAGACAAGATCCTAAGAGATGATGGTGGTCTCGCATCTTGATGTTGTGGACAGCTTTGTCACAGAACGGAACGCACAACCACTCGAAATGAAGATGGGAAATGAGGGCGAAGTAAGAGGAAGTCGACAGAAACTTACCCATCCGAGTCTTGCTCGTCTGCTTCGCCTCGTGGATAATACTCTACGGCACCCAGTTGCTCTAGCCGCTTATGCAACTTTCGAGCAGCCCAGTTAAATCTGTGGGAAATGTCAGCCGTTGAAACTATTGCTGATAATAGCAACCGTAGTCCTCAACGAAGGCGAGAAGGGGAAATAACGCCCGAGGACCAAAAGACATACTTGATGTATAGGCTATCGCCAAGTCCAAATGTCGTGAACTTCACCGCGCCGAGGCAGCCAGGTGGTAGCTTCTTCCTCAAAAGGCTTTTCCAAAAGGCAATCGAATTACGAGGCATATCACCTTGGCCCGTCGTTGATATGACAAATATGACCATCGAGTATTGAAGCAACACGCTCTACCAGAGAAGTCAGCAATGCGTGAGGTATGGTGCTCAATGACGTGTAATGAAGTGCATTGGTAGACAGATCTGCAGTAGCACATTCAGGCTTAAGGAGACCTACCAACTGAGCTCCGTTCATCTCATCAACCTTGGTCTTGAAATGCAGACGCTGGGCATTGCGACCAATTTCTTCGGCAATATCCTGAGCATTGCCGGTCTCCGAGCCGTAAAGGACCAACATGGACCGGCCTGGCAGGTCAGCCACCACGGCCGGCTCGGGACCGGTGATTTCGGTGACCATATTCCTTGAACCGAATTTGAGGCGAGGTACTTGTTGCTTGCGAAAAGCTGATGGCAGGTTCTATCCGGACTTGCTTGTATTGTGAACGTCAACTGCAGCGTGATCCGGGTGGGACCTTTCAAAATCGTGACTCTGACAAGATGCGGCTCTTGGGTCTGCTAGCGCGGGGGTGCAGCTTCTCGGAAATGTTTTTTCTCTGTCTTCCCAGCGGCATCGGAGCTGCAGGAGCCATTCGGACTCTCAAGGCGCGAAAATGCGAAAATGCATGTGCTTTTTTGAGTCACGTGTTATCGCACTGGCTTGAGATTGAGTTATTCAAGTACAAATAGAAATTTGGGAATCTCAGTCAGACGTAAAAGCTGGAAAAAGAGAAATTCTACGTCGTGATAGTCGAGTTTAGAGACAATCCTCGAAACGTCATTGAGTGCTCGGAATTGTCTGGGGCACATGCTCTTGCGAGCGAGCGTAAGGCAGCCTGTCAAGGCCTGTGTATCGGTCAGCCACAAGCATGGATAACAGCCGACCTCCCCAAGATCCAGGTACGTCTTTTGCATGCGCCACAGGTGGGAGAGAATCCCATCGAAGAGTTGCAGGGCACCAGGACCCAGTGCCGGAACTTAGACAGTCACTAATCCCAACAAGATTAGAGCGGCGATTCATGGGCTGAGACCCCCTAACAACTAAAGATGCGGCGGTGTGCTGCCTTGCATGCAAGGTAACGGTTGGGCGGGCTGGGACCACCTCACGCACGGGAGGTCGGCGCTGGTGTCACTCTCCAGGCAGGGCGAGTAACAGCATGCCCCATACCGAAGAAGCTCCTGTGGAGAAGCTTGAGGCGCTTTACTGCGAGACGACAGATGAGGCAAAGTCAGGGAAAACCTTCACGACTCAGGTCTCCGCCTTACCACGCCTCGAGCTGCTGACACGACTGTTTCCGTTCTCACCGAATCCCACGCGAGCTCAGGATTCTTGCTGACGATGGCGTCCAAAAAGCGAAATAGCAGGCGCAGGTCTGAAGACGCGGACTCATCTGTTCTGCCCGGGCAGTTGCTCTTTGCGCTATCCGAACATCCTCAATACTATCCTGGGTGGGAGATTGTCTGTCGATCTGTACGCGCGACAGTCATCCCCTTGCTGATTGGTGTTGGTTGAGCATCGGATATTCGCGCTCGTGTTGACATCAATATCGGACATGAGAGCGCGGGATTGATAGGAGTAGCTGAGTCCAGGACAAGGGACAGAGGGAATCTGCTCGTCCCTTCTTTGCACTGTTGGCCGCCCCCCTGCATTGCACCGTTAAGACCCATGGAGCTTTAGCGCGGGTTGCTAGGGGACCCTCACCAAAATCTTCATGCGCTCCGCGAGATCCAGTGGGCCGTGGGAAATTGTATCATTCCGGACGCCAAAGCATCTCTCCGCGGTCCCATAGATACGGGAGGACGATGCTGACCAGGGACGGGAGATGGGCCCTGAATTGGCATCCGCCGGAGCCACATTGCTGAACCGGCCGGGCCAGCCGTCGCGTCACTCGCGTGTGTGCAAGCTGCGAATGTCTTGTATTGCCGTAGTTGAGGCTTGGGATTGGCGACGTGTAATTACACTGCCGACTGTGACCCGTCGCTTGCTCTAGGCTCAACGTCCGGTTTGGTTGATAGACTACTGCAAGGTGCAAACCGAGCTAGAAAACAAACTGCATTGATATATGGTTTGGCTAAGATGAACCAGCGTGACCAGGTTCACTGAGGCAAGGTTAGGCAAAACAGAATCCATTCGGTAGACGCACGCATACAGGGTAGTCTCTCGCGATGGACCGTGGATTCAAATATCCGATTCATGTCTCTCGCAGCGTCGCACGAGGCAGTCCAGGAAATAAGATCGAAAAGGTTGATCGTGATCGTTGACTGTGGTCATTGATAAAAAAAGGTTTTTTGCGCAATACTGGCTCTGAGAGAAATCAACTCACGTCCAGACAGGAGAGGGTACTTCGTACCAGGCCACAAATGGTATCAATAAGCAGAGGATGAACGAGCAAGATTTGCCGGCATTGGGTTGATTGTGAGCTTTCAGAGATAATGTTGTACAAGAGCGTCCCATCCGGCTGCTCTCACAGTGTAGACATGAGAGGTTATAACCAGACCATTGCGAGCAATCTTCAAAGAACACAGCCAGCAATATGAAGTAGGAGAGTGTATACTGGGCGAGGTGATTCCTTTCAATTGTTGACAGGCGGGTCCCAGGAAAATCGTGTTGTTTGATGCAAGTCTTGCCGATGTTGAGCAGTGAGGTACGAATACCGGCGGCCAATCGGGATCTGTGGATGCGGCAAACGTGGGCAAATCGGGCCAGCAAGCACCTGGGGGCCATCTTGGGGATGCCAAAATATCAGACTTCAAGGTTTGTGGACTGAAAATCGCACGTGAGCAACCACAATGGTCGCGGGTAGCTGCAAACACTTTGAGCCGACACAAAGACAAGTCAGGTCCGCTATCCGTCCTCCGTAGAGACCAGACCGTAGCTGCCGAGATCTTTGTCGCATTTCTGGCGGCCGGTGGCTCCACGAACACGCACATCAGCGGGTGGGCACTGGTTCAGGCCTGGCTTGGCTAGGATCCCATCACGACCATTTTGCGGGGGAAGAGTCATACCACCGCCCTGATAGGCCGATGCTGTTGTCACCGCCTGGGCAGATCACACAGGTTTCTTCTCGTGTGAGTTGCATGTTTTTGTTGATGGGTTGCTCAGCATAAGTGTCTTTCAGCCAGTCAGGGCTTATGTTGACGACCGGCGTGGTTGATAAGGTCCGATGTATAAATTAATGTTGCGGTACCGGTACTCCGCCCACGAAAGGTACATCGATGGAAAGGGGGGGAAAGTAAGAAGAAGAAAAAGAAGCAATGGAGAAGCTGCACCTTTCTTCTCCTAGCAGGGGTTGCCGTCTGGCCCATCTCTAAAAGCCCGTGCTCTGTGGCTTGAACAGATGGCCTGTTAGGTACCTGCCATGTCCAACACTATCGTGTGGGTCTTTCCTGGATGGATGGCATTCCACCGCCTTACCTTCCCAGGGTTGGTAAGGGGACCTCCTTCCACTTCAACACTGGCAAGACGACCTTTCATGAAGGTTTAGGTTAATAAGGCACCTAGGCACCTATGGCACCTTAAAGTAGGTAAATAGTTGACGCGTGAGGAAAGAGATGAGGTGAGCAGCTTGATCCCGGCTCTTGGTTCAAGGCACTTTCTGACGTGGAACTGAAGCTGTCCCTGCGTGTTTGCACAACAGAACTGTTCTGTCTTAGGTTCCTGTTGATAAATATATCGTAATCATACAAAAAAAACAATAAGCCCATCGCGTCATCCGGCGAGAAACATATGGAAAGCTGCTGCGCTGCCGTCATTTCCATTCGTGCCTTCCCCCTTCCCCCTTCTCCTTACCCCATACCCCCCTACCCGGCTGCTGCAGACACAATAGGCAAGTACCCACCCACACCCTCGTCTTTCCGCACCGCCACAGCAGCCTAGGAGCCCGCTCTTGCCATCCCAAGGTACCCAGAACGTGGGCCGCACCTGCTGTTCGGTGGGTTTGCGCCTCGCTTACCCTCGTCCTCTGTTTCCCCTGCTCACCAGAAAAAAAATATTTGTATTTGAGGTCGAGGCTTGAGCCATCCCTTTCCTCTCTCCTTTCCCTCCACATCACAAATTCAAGATCCTGTGTCACCGCGCAACGCAACGTCGTCTGTCAACTTTTTTCAAGCTTTCTAGGGCACCAAGCTACCCTGAGAAAATTCCCCCTCATTGTTTCAGAGTTCTAATCCACCGAACTTCCATTCTCCATCAATCTCGAATCTTCGTTCCTGCCACCGGGTCCAAGTTCGCACGTCATCTGTTATCACGCACTTCACCGAAACGCAGCCTCAACCTCCACAAACCTCCGTCTCCATCCACCAGACCAACACCGCCAAAATGTCTGCTGCCGTCGAGAAGGTTTCCGAAGCCGTCAATGACGTTACCAATGCTCTGAGCAATGCCACTATCTCCGACAAGGCCGCCGATAAGCCTGCCGCCAACAACGATGCCGTCCTCGCCAGCGCTGCTGAGGGACGCCGTCTGTACATCGGCAACCTGGCCTACGCGACAACGGAGGGGGAGTTGAAGGAGTTCTTCAAGGGTTACCTTGTGTAAGTGGTCGCGAATCTTCTCATCGTCACTTTTTGTCGTCACCGACCTTATTGTCGTCCTCAACCTGTCGTCATTTCATCATGGGAGCCTACTGTAGGCGGTAGTGCGAGCTTGTTTCCGAGGAAGCTGTACCTTCCCAAAGCACATGTTCCCCACATATCCTCTACGGCAATGCTTCTGACATCGCATCGATGCCCACTTGCTTGCATCGTTTGCATTTGACTCACGATGCATCGAGGTTGGGCGTCGCTTTGCGTCCGTTGCTGCCCTGCTGCTGCTGTTGCCTAGACCGCTTCTCTCAACTGTCACGATGTTGCAGCGTGGCCTCTCATCCCTCCCCTGCCCCGCAAAATTCCACCCACTTGCGTCACACATGACAACTCATACTGACCCGCCTTTTTCCATAGTGAGTCCGTCTCCATTCCCAAGAACCCTCGCACCGACCGACCTGTTGGCTACGCCTTCGTCGACCTCTCCACCCCTTCCGAGGCCGAGCGCGCCATCTCTGAGCTTTCCGGCAAGGAGATTCTCGAGCGTAAGGTCTCGGTTCAGCTTGCCCGCAAGCCTGAGCCCGCTGGAGAGAAGACCGAGGGTGCCAACGGTGAGGGTGCTGGTGAGGGTAACCGCCGCCGCGCCTCCGGTCGTGGCCGTGGACGTGGCCGCGGCCGTGGCGGTCGTGGTGCCCGCGGTGGCCGCAACGTAAGTTGAAGTCAAGGAATAGTTCGCGAGGAGCTGCTTACAAATTTACAGGAGGATGGCACTCCCATCGAGGGTGCTGCCGCCGAGGTCCCTGCCGGCGCTCCCGCTACCTCTGAGGTTCTGCCTCTGACCGATGCCACCAACAAGGATGCCGCCAAGACCCAGAAGGCCGGCGAGTCCGCTGAGGCTCGTGCCCCCCGTGAGCGTCGCGAGCGTGGCCCTCCCGCCGATGGCATTGCCTCCAAGACCAAGGTCATGGTCGCCAACCTCCCCTACGACCTGACCGAGGAGAAGGTATGATATCATCATTGGCTCTGTTTATTGCCTAGTACTGACACATTTCAATAGCTCAAGGAGCTCTTCGCCGCCTACGAGCCTTCTTCCGCCAAGATCGCTCTCCGCCCCATCCCCCGCTTCATGATCAAGAAGCTTCAGGCTCGCGGCGAGCCCCGCAAGGGCCGTGGCTTCGGCTTCGTTACCCTCGCCTCTGAGGAGCTTCAGCAGAAGGCTGTTTCCGAGATGAACGGCAAGGAGATTGAGGGCCGCGAGATCGCCGTCAAGGTCGCTATCGATAGCCCCGACAAGACCGACGAGGAGGCCAACGCCCCCAAGGAGGAGACCAAGGCCAACGGCACCCAGGAGGCTGCCACCGAGGCCGCGGCTGCTCCTGCTGCTGCCGAGACCCCGGCTGCCGCTCCCGCCACCACCGCCTAAATGTGGGCGACCTACCTACAGCCCCGGCAATGCGTCTTGGCCCAACCTCCGGAGCCATTGCCTTTACGAGCTTTACGATGCGGTACCTGTTACGACGATTTCAATTTTTTGGAAGTGCCCACCAAAAAGGTGGCCAAATACATCTACGTCTGCCTTTTTACGAGATTCGCTCTCGGTAGATAGGCCAAATAAGATGTGCAGGGCTGCCACCATCCCTAAACTAATACACATGATCTTACCGGCCACCTCTTCTGTACTTGTTACCTGACCTCGCATTTTCTCCGTCACCCTATGCTGGGTTGTAAATTAGCTTAAGCTGGAGGCGGTCTAAAAGGAAGAGGAAAAGTTTGGCGCAAAACGTTTCAAATCGGGTAGCTTTTTACAGTTAAACAAAAAAATACAAAAGGGCGGTGCAACACCAAAAATCGGTTAGAGAATGCATCATCGTTGAGTGATTTTAAGGTTGCGTACTGTGGTTCGAGTTCGCAGAAATCGTCTGAACGGCTACTAACAGAGTGCTGCCTTGCACAGTTTGCACATGGAGTTCCATGGCCATGCAAATCTAGGAAGGTAAGGTATGTCGTTCCTAGGACCTTGACACTTTTCGTTGAGCATTCGGTGGGAATCAGTGGTTGGTTTCAGTGGTGCATGTATAGCGTTTCGAGGACTATCATTGGGTGGCGGCAGAGCCCCAAAAGCCAAGTGTCCCAGACCAAAGTCTGGACCTTTCCTTGACTGTCGAGTCTCCAGCAGAGCCCCATGGAGTTGAAGGCCCCCTGTCTACCTTACCTTGTCTTTTGCGCCGTGACTACCTGACCGACGTGAGAGATTCAATATGTGCTGCCTCGATTGCTTGAATGAGAATCCATACACTTGAGCATGACGATAACTCCATGGACCTGGAAGCACAAATTGGCAGGTTGGTGTTACCAGAGACTTGGTAGCTCACGTGTCCGTTCCCCTAGGCCAAGAAACTCAAATACATGGATGAAATTGAGGGCAACGTCAGTCACTAAAAGGTACCCAACCTGACCAGACGCCCAGACTCCCGCACCCTAGTCGACTGCCAGCAAAACCCCTTATCGGCATCGAGAAAGCCCCTCCACAACTCCTCTGCGACAAGACAACCTCCCACGTACCTCAATCAGCTCTCCTTTGCCACGGGTTTCCCCTCATACCCAATCACCAGCCCTAATTCCTTCCCACGATGGCTTCCAAGGCCATGTGGGAGGTTGATCCCGAGACGCGCGCCAAGGTGAGTCTTCTCCCAAGTCGAGGGCCTCGCTTGCGACTCCGCGACTCGCCGCTAACCCAACGTCTCCTCACAGCTAGCCGCGATTCAAAAGGAGGCCAAGAACAACGTCTGCTGCGACTGCAACGCACCATCCCCGCAATGGGCCTCCCCGAAGTTCGGCATCTTCATCTGCCTCTCATGCGCCGGTGTCCATCGCGGCCTCGGTGTGCACATTTCTTTCGTGCGCAGCATTTCAATGGACGCATTTAAGCAGGTCGAGATCGAACGGATGCGCCTGGGTGGCAACGAGAACTGGCGCAACTTCTTCGAACAGCACGAGGACACCAAGATGAGAGGTATCTCGTGGGACGACGCGACGATCGCGGAGCGATACAGTGGCGAGGTCGGTGAGGAGTGGAAGGACAGGCTTTCTGCCAAGGTCGAGGGCAAGGAGTACGTTCCCGGCGAGAAGAAGCCTGCACCAGCACCGGCGGCGAAGCCCGCCAGCCGAACGGGCACACCTCTCAGCAGCACAAACAGCCGCGCCGCCAGTCCCGGCAGGAAGGTCAAGGTGGACGACAAATACTTCTCCAAGCTCGGCGCCGAGAACGCCTCCCGATCCGAAGACTTGCCTCCCAGCCAGGGAGGAAAATACGCAGGATTCGGCAGCAGCCCCATGCCCGAGAAGAAGGAAAGCGGTATCCCGACCGTGGATGATTTACAGAGGGATCCAGTGGCTGCTCTGACCAAGGGGTTCGGCTGGTTCACAACCACCGTCTCCAAGACGGCCAAGACGGTCAACGATGGCTACATTCAGCCCACAGCGAAACAGGTGGGTGACTCTTCTACTTCAATCATATCTCCTCCGGCCCCGGCCCGAACGAAGAACTCCGGACTAATCCGACGTCCTCCTTGAAATTAGCTTGCCGAATCCGACTTTGCAAAGCAAGCGCAGATGGCGGCGGCCAACGCGGGCCGCGTCGCGCAGCAGGGTGCCCGCAATGCCCATGACGGCTTCAACCGCTTCGTCGAGGGCGGTCCCAGCCAAGGGGGCCAGGGCGGAGCGTCGAGACAGGCGCCGTTGGATGAGAGCAAAAAGGACTTTTGGGACAGCTTTAGCAGTCTGGCGGACCAGAGGCAGACGCAGAGCGGTAATGCGATTGGTACGTCTGCTATGGGCAAGAAGACTGGAGGTGCTGCGGCACCGGCTGCGAAGAAGGACAATGATGGATGGGATGACTGGTGAGTGCGGGCGTTATATACGGTGTCCGGAAAGGAGGGTTTAGGGGTTGTGTGGGTGAGCGGTTGTTGTGCTTTGGCAGGCCTGCAAGTCGAAGAATATCAATTTAGACTGCAATATCACTTGTTTCGACCTTAGAGACGCTATGCACTGGTATGTCTAGTAGGTTTGCAACTGTTAAGCTAAGTGTGTCTCATGCTTTCATGGTGACATTACTCTACTGAGTGGGTAGAGTTGAGCGAAGCGAACTTCTCAAAGCCGAGATGCCTTCATGTGAGGGCGGGACTTCCAAACGAGCAATTCGACCAAAAATGAGAAGCTTCGGGATTATGAGCCTGCAAGTCGGCGTCTACGCTCGAATGACCGAAAAGGGCTTACGGTGGGGCGGTGACCCGAGGTTAGCCGGTATCGCTAACGACGGAGGTCCCATTTTCCCCAGTGACGACACGGACCTTGACCATTGAAGACCTCGAGCTCCCACCACACCCTCCAATTCCCATCTGCGCAGTACCACAAGCAGCCCCCCTCCACGCATCAACACCGGGCCATTGAAGAAGCATAACGAGAGAGAGCCCAGTCATGTCCGCCCTCCGAATCCTCGTTCCCGTGAAGCGGGTCATTGACTATGCTGTACGTCTACCAAAGCTCTGCCCATGACCGCACGCAATGGGCACTCCCGCAGAAATTGGCTTGTGATTGTGTGGTCCTCAACTAACATCAATGGTTCCGCAAAACTTAGGTCAAGCCCCGAGTCAACAAGGCCCAGACGGGCGTCGAGACGGCCGGCGTCAAACACTCCATGAACCCCTTTGACGAGCTCTCGGTCGAGGAGTCGGTCCGCATCCGCGAGAAGAAGCGGGCGCCCGGCGGCGTCGAGGACATCACCGTCATCTCGGCGGGACCCCCCAAGGCCGTCGACGTGCTGCGCACCGCCATGGCCATGGGCGCCGACCGCGCGATCCACGTCGAGACCAAGGAGGGCGACGACCTGGAGCCCCTGAGCGTGGCCAAGCTGCTGCGCAAGGCCGCCGAGGAGCACAAGTCCAACCTCGTCATCCTCGGCAAGCAGAGCATCGACGACGACGCGAACCAGACAGGCCAGATGCTCGCTGGGTTGCTGGGGTGGCCGCAGGCTACGTCGGCGAGCGTGGTGGAGTTTGGCGAGGGGGACAGCGTGAGCGTCACGCGCGAGGTTGATGGTGGCGTGGAGACGGTCAAGGCGAAGTTGCCGATGGTGATTACGACGGATCTGCGGCTCAACGAGCCGCGGTACGCGAGCTTGCCGAATATCATGAAGGCGAAGAAGAAGCCGCTTGAGAAGAAGAAGCTGGCCGACTACGGGATTGGTGTTGAGAAGAGGTTGAAGGTTTTGAAGGTTACTGGTGAGTCCTTTTTTGCGCTCTTGGCGAAACCACTGTCTTTTCCCCTACATGCCTGCTCAGAAAACGGATCGGTTATGTTTTCTTCTGGAAAAATTGCGAGCTAACCAATCTTCACAGAGCCCCCTCAGCGCCAGGGTGGCGGCAAGGTCGAGGACGTTGACGGTCTCGTTGCGAAGCTCAAGGAGCTCGGCGCCTTGTAAGGGGCGTGTCATGGCTTGTACCAATACGAAGAGACCCTTTTTTGCAATAGAAACGATTCAAATGTAGGCTCCTCGGATGTTCGGACATGATCGCGGACGCAGTATTCGGAATACGAATGCACTTTCGAGCCATCAATTATATCTCGCGGCACATCTTAACCAACGCAATATGTTCGTCATGTTTATTACTGACATCGCAGCTGTTCTACAAAAGCACTAGACTCACGGTACTGGTGGCCCTCCATTGCGTTAGATCGATGTACCAGGTCCTAGCCCGGGTGTGTCACATGAAGATTCCTTGCTGCCACACCATTTTGTGCGGCTCGAATCGGCTCACTTCTGCCATCTTGAAGTCGAGGGAGAACGATAAGCGACATAATCATCAATTGTTCAGACGGAAAAGCAAGCTGATATACCTTGCCCCCCTTAGCATCTTGGTCGAGAGCTCGGCCCAAGGTAGGTGTTACGCGGTGGTCATCCGCTTCGCTGTCGAACCTTGTAAGATGGTTGTGGACCATAGGCAAGTCAACGGAACGGTCCGGTTAGCGACGTGAAGCCGAGCACGCAATGTACCGCCCATACGGAATCGGCGAGAGTAAATTCAGATTGCGAGGTATCTCGGAGATAGGTCTCGGAATGCGAAGGCACATGGGACGCGGGATGCGATTAACCAGCATGAACGTTTGCTGCGCTGAGTTTGCTGATTATTCTAGATTGAAATCCGCGAAATGCATCGGCTCGTCTAGTTAGGTCGACCTCCAAACGAATGACGTCGAACGTATGCAGAGTTCACCATCGTAGCCTGCCAGTATCTCCTAGTATCAATCACAGAGGGCAAAAAAACAAAAGCTCGGGTGCGAGGTCCGGGAATCGAACCCTGACTACGCTACACCTACGAAGCCCTCCATCTGCTTGGGAGAGCAGACTTCTCAGGGTTTCTCACC